TTTTAACCTTAGTTAATTCTCTATTCCAAAAGATTCTTGTTTTTTGTGTAGCTCTAGCTCTTGGGTCAGTCCTCACTTCAGTTTGCTTCATCAGAGATCAAAAACATCGTGGAAGAGAAGAGAATGGTCATGAACAAACAAACACCAGTTAAGTTGTGCGCAATCGTGCCACCATCACAATACCAGTGACAAAATGAGTCACATGCTAAGAAGTGAAGAGTCAGCTAAATGGCAACCACAGTGGTCTGAAGGAACTTGAGGACCAATGAGTGGGGTTACATATTTGGTTACTGCTGTCTAGGGCCGACTGTGGCTTGACATTATTGGTTACCACTGATTAGGATCAACTTGGGGCATTGCAATATATATATATATATATGTGTGTGTGTGTATATGTATATATATATACACACACACTGATGTTAATTTAGCTGGTAAAATTTTGAAAAGTAGGTCAAGTTGAGATCTTTCTAGCAACTCTTTGTGTCATTAACTTGTCAGAACCCATGAGCACTAACATGTTATGATTGCTTTTGTGTCATGTACAGGAATTTGGTCTTGGGTCATAAATGTTTAATCTAATTTTTGTTTTCAGCTTGGTGTTCCAATTGCATCTTTTTGTCGAGAATTCAATGAAAAGACAAACCATTTTAAACCTGGTATTCCAATGCGGACACAAATCACAGTGAATGTAAGACAGTGTTTTGCCATTCTCTCTTTAATTATGCCTATGTGTAAATGTTCTCTACTAAGTTTGCTAGAATAATTAAACAAATTTTATCATTCTTTCCCCAGTTTATTTTTATTTACTAGCTGTTTATGTCATCTGTGATATCACAGGTAGAAATTAACAAAAATTTTTATTCAATTTAGTGATTATGTAAAGAGTAATGCAGTAAATTCTAAAATAATGAAACTTTTTAGTATTACTAGATTTGAACCTAATATAAGGAGCTAAGTTTTTCAGGGTTTTTTTTTTCTGATTTTACTGCTGCACCTGTTATAGTTATTTTTTAGCACAAACAAAATGAATATTTTGAATAGGAAGAAAAATTGATTTAATGCAATTTGATTTTTGATCTGGCATAGATTTTAATAAGTTCTAACATTCAATCTAATCAGTGAAAATTGGCGGGTGAGGGGAAGATGATCGGGAATTGATGCAGGCATTACTGACAGAATAGGCAATTATATGTATAATTATAGACAACATTCTAATCTTTGTTGTTTCAGTTGGTTAGTTCTGGTTTCTTCAAACAAATATACTAGAAATATTTGCTAATAGACAAATTAATCAAATACTAGTTCAGATTAGTAATTGTTTGTCAATTTAAAATACATTTATTAGAAAATATATTCAGTTTAAATATCAAAGGAGTCATAAAAAATATTTCAAAACGCTGCACATTTTGGTTTATACTCTTTTCGTGTTACTCAGGGTTTGTTGTTAGACAGGGAAATTAATCCTTGTGACACAGACGTCTATTTCAGTTTCCTTCAAACTATGTGTCTGTATATTTATTTTTGTGTACATGTATATTTTGGAATTCAGTGACAGGCAATGTTTAACTTTCATGCCTGCAAAAAATATGTGTGAAACTGCTATTACCAAACAAATATTATTCTCAAGAATAAAGAAAATGTATAAATTTACTTTTGACACCCTCAACAATGTTTATTCACAAGATGATAAAAATATGTGAATCAAGTACAATTTGATATTATTTACCTTTATAAAGAAATAAATTTGAAAATAAATTTTTTTATTCAAAAATTTATAAAAGTACAAAATTATGAAAATATGTAAACTAACTACAATGCAATATTTATTATTTACCATTTTATAAATAACTACAAAAACAAGTTTTTTTATTCAATCTAATAAATAAATTAGTTTAATATCTTTGTTGACAATTCTCAAGAATAAAGAAAATATATAAATTTACTTTCATATGTCAAAAGTGTATATAATAACAGGGTCACGGTTAAACATTGCTCAATGGCAGGTCTAAAATATTTCTTAAAAAATTTTAACAAAATAATAAAAAAAAAAACTTTAAAAAAAATATCATTTATTATTGAATACTTTCTGAAAAGTTCAATAAACTTTTATTATTATCTGATTTTTTTTTTTTAGGGTTTGTTTTCTTTTGTCTCCAACTTTGTGGTTTGATTGCTCAGCACAATGTAGGAGTTGTGCACAATGAATAGGAGGGGAATGTATTATTTTAGACTTAATCAAATTGTGTTTGTATGTGTGCTTTATCTACATTAAATGACAAGCATATTTAAGTCACTCCTACACAAAGCAGACATATGCATATACATTAGATATATGCATGCAGTTTGTGATGGATAGAGAATTAACTTTTATAATAAATAATACATCTGTATATAAAATTTGGTTTCTGTTGGTTTGTAATGCACAAAACATACTATTTTTTTGTGCTTGTATTCTTTGTCAATATATATATATATATATATATATATGTTGGCAAAGAATTTTATATGTTGTTCATTTCAACATTTCAAATTATAGCAATGATCACATAACTTATAAGTTTTAAAATATATTGCAGTAATTTAAATGATTTTGAAGTTTTAATTTTTGTCTTACTTGCAAGAAAAAGAATTATAAAAGTTAGTCCTAAAAAATAAGAATTACTTTTGCACGTTAGATTTTAGACTGTTTTCAATGTCAATTTTTGTCATCCAAAATTAACTTTAATTACATAAGGATTGATGCCTTCTACGAGAAAAATAATGTAGACATTGATGAAAATTAGTTAATTTATTGATTGCTTAGCAGAATTCTTTTTTAAAATTACCTTTAAATTAAAATAAAAAAATATATTTGCTTATGGTGAGTGTCTTTTACCTGTCACCTTGATTCAAAGGTTATTTGGGCTTTTAGCCAAATTTCCTTACCCATGTGTGATGAAAGCCAGCTTAAATCTGCAACCATCTTATGCCTGCTGAAATATGGATGACTAAAAATGACAAAACCTATTATTTTCACCAATGGCAAAAATATATTTTTAACACAACTTTAATCATATCCTAAATATTTAAACTGTCCCCAAATAAAAATGTTTTATTTTTTAACTTTGATTCATAGTTGTTAGTAGTAAAATAAAAACATTAAAATGTTTATGAAAAATATTAAAGTTTTAACTATGAATAAATGCAAAAACAAATTAGATAAAATTTACTGGAATCTTTATTTTTATTTAAACATTTGTTAAATCACCTCAAATCATTTATGCAAACATATTCCCAATTAATTTTCAGATTCAGAATAGCTTTTATCATACTTTAATCGAAGAATTGCATTTTATGCATTCATTTTTTATATAATGAATATTAGCACATTCCAACTAAGTTTTAAAAATCTTTAAAAAAAAAAAATTCAGTTAACTGCTACATTTAATGACTAAATTTTCCATGTTTATTATTTTTAAAATTTTCCCTTGTATTTCTCCATTTAATTTATAAGCAGAAAACATACATAAATGTTGTTTTTAATAATTCATTGAAGTTTAACCAAGCATTAACAGAAAATATTTTCTTGATTTAATTATTAAAGCAAAATTAACTCTACAATGTTTTTCACATTTAGACATAAATAATAGAAATATTTAAATTTAAGTCATTCAACAGTTTAAAAAGAAATGCTTAAGTTTGGTTTATTTTATATGTGTGCATGTTTCATTTATTAAAAGACTACCACTATTGGTGGGCATTAAGTTTTTTTTTTTTATTTCAAGTTGCTTGGAGATTGCTTTTGAGGAGGCAGATTTTTTTTTCCCTGCAGTAGGTTGCCATTTCTTTGTGTGGTAGACAAATTGCCATCCAAAGCTATAGAACCTGGTCTGTCCAGCTATTTACCCATAGCTGGGGGGAGAAGAAGAGGATTCATACCCTTCCCAAGGGTATTAGTACATAAGTGAATGTAATGGATTTGACTGGAATTTGAACTTGGCTCCCTGATTCCTCGATTCCTCAATCCAAGCTGCTATACATTACTCTATTGTGCCTCCTCAACCAATAACTAACTACTCATCCCAAATAAATGCTTTATCACAATTCAATAGAAGGAAATTTGCAAGTTTACTTAACTTTTTGGGGCACAAGACTAAAATAACAACCAGTGTGAGTTTAACTAGCTAGCAATTGACTGTTTAGTTAGCTTGCTGATATTATTCTACAGTAGACACAAGGAAATTAGCAAATGTCAAGTAGTTTTATGCTAGAAATTCTTGTGATGATGATGAGCAAACCTTTGCTAGTGTAATGGTTTCATTCTTCATTGACTGCTCAACTAACATAGTGCCAGGGTGAAAATAATCTGTTTTGAAAATATTTAGGTGCTGATTGCATAGTAGAATGACTCACATTTCATTATGATTTTTAAATCTTAAGTGATAAGAGTTGATGCCCTGAAAAGGTGATCATGTATTTGAATGTGGCAAAGGCAAAAAAAAAAAAAAAAAATTGTATAATTCCAAATTATAAGGTCTGTCTAGAAAATAGATATTTTTGGATATCTTGATAATTGGTTGGGTAGCCTTGATGCAACTTTATCAACCAATCAGAAGACCTCTTATTGTATATGTCTGGGCAGATTCCATTTAGTGTCTTTTTTTTTGTCTTAATCATAACAGTGATTAATGCAACCTTCATATAACATGAAGGCTTTTTATAAAGAAAAAAGTCAATATAGTATATCTGCTACCCCACCTCCATTAGACACTGACACTTATAACAAAGTGAAAATTGGTCTTGAAAATAAATTTAAGACCATGAATGAAATAATGTAACAGTTGACAGTGATCCAAAAATAGGACTATGTAAACTGCTTTGAATAATGGAAGGAACACTGAGGTCTTTAAAAGGTGAGAATACTTTAAAAAGGAACTAAGGCACCATTTTCCTAAGTAGCCTATTTATTCATTAATATTAAATTTTCATTTTTCTGTTTTTCTATATACTACAAGAAATAATCTGTAAAATTTTTTTTTCTAGTTATGATTGATTTAAAAAAAAAAAAAAAAAAAAAAATTTTTCTGATCACTTATACAAATTTTCTCTGAAATTCAATTATATTAAAATATCAAATTTAATCATTTTAATGATAGCATAATTTCACAATGCAAGAAACATTTATTTCAACCTATTAAGCAATTCAAAGAATGTTTTTCTTCTCTTGCACAAAAAATACTGGATTTTTCCTTTAACATTGGATACATTTGTATTTATTTTACTCCAATTTCTTGCCTTTCAGCCAGACCGTAGTTACAAGATTGACATGATTTCCCCACCATCAACATATTTCTTAAAACAAGCAGCAGGCATTCAGAAAGCAGCTATGAAAGGAGGTATTTATTTTTTATTAAAAATTTATTGTCAAAGCTAGAGTTATCTTGTAGTAGTCAATTTTTTCTTGTGATGCCATACATTGGCAATGTTTGGGTTCCACATGATAACTCAGCAGTGCAAAATTGGAGCTTTAAACTTTGTCACTTGTCTGCCTCTTCAACAGAATCCGTATATGAATGATATATTACATGTGGTGGAACTTTAGTGTCTTAGGCCTAATGTTCATTTTTTTTTTCTTTTAAAGGCTCAGTTTCCTTCATTAAATTACCCTACATAGCAGATGGACTAAAGGATAAGTGCCGGTTAAATTTTGGGTAAAGTAGTACAAAATGTCATATACTCCTGTTTAGGGAAAGAGACAAGTGACATTATAAGGATGAATATGAGCTCTTCTAATATGAATACCACAATCACCTACTATAGTGGATTGAATGAAGAATCCAGTTTGAAATTCTCATCAGGTTATTAACTATGGTGAAAGTATAGTTCAGTGTATAAGAAATAAAATTTTTTTAGGTGGTGTGGTTAACATTATGTTGTTAATTACACCACCTAGAAGGCTTGAGAATAAGTTATTTCTTATACACTGAACTATAAACGTACATCTCAATTTTTATGACTGTCATTTGATAGCAACAAATCTATTTACTTAAATGTTCCTAGTATAAGAAGTCAATCTGTAGCAATTACTTCATTAATATTGCCCAAACTTACCAGTGATGAGACATTTTTTTGTATTCTTTTATTCATTTCTGTAAAGTTATTGGATACAGGAAATGTTGGATTCATGCCTTTCCTAAGTATTAGTGGTTTTTTTTTGTTACATGCTGCTGCCATTGAAATGTAACAGTCTAGTTAACTATTGCTTTATGGCAGGTCCCAACTTTACTTTAATAACCTTTGGCATATTTATATGTCTCTTTATAACAAGAGTTAATATTTATTTTTGCTTTTCAGGTGATGAAGTATCTGGCAAAATATCATTGAAACATTTATATGAAATTGCTAAAATCAAAAGCGATGATCCAGGATTTGCAGGAATGTCTTTGGAAAAGGTCTGCAAATGTCTGATTGGAACTGCTCGTACTTGTGGAATCAAAATTGTGCCCTCGTTGGATGTTGAAGAATACAAGGAGTTTTTAACACAAAGACTTGAATGGGTGAAGGAAGAAGAAAAACGATTGGAAGAATTAAGACAAGCCAAAATGTTGAGATTATGAGCAAAAGTTAAAATAGACCCCCCCTCCTCTTTTCTAATAAAACAGTTAAAACCTCATGTTTATCTTCCTATTATTAGGTTAAGTTGACAAGATTTAAATTCCAAGTAAAAGGAACTGGTCTGCTAGACATCTTGTGGGTTCATGGTTAGCAAGCATATCTCTATATTATTAATGCTAGCCTGTAAGAAAGTTCCTCTCTCACAAAAGAAGTAAATATGCAGTAAAGTAGTACTTGCATTACTATAAATTGCCTCAGTGTCAATGTTTGAAAATTCCTCTGATGCTAGTTCTATTTTTGGTTAAGAAGCTAATTGCTAAATTTAATTTTGAAATCTATTTGCTTGAGCTTCATTGATATATAGTAGGGATCGTGTGTGTATTATTCATTTTCATCTGGGAATTTGCTAGTTGGACTGTAGAATGAGTGAGTTTTTTTTTTGTTTTTTTTTTTTAATATTTTCATAGACTTTGGATGCTGGATCTTAATATAAGATATGTGTTTTTTTTGTTTTAATTTACTTTGGAGAAAGTGGGGGGAAAAAGTATTGCTGCAACTTACATGTATCTGCATTGCAGAAACACCTAACATTTTTGTTTAATCATGCTAATTATACAGGTATAATTACAGCCCATCAAAAAGAGCATTTAAAAAAAAGAAAAACGATATCTATCCTCTTCAGTCTCAAATTATTTTGTTTTTATATATATATATATATATATATATATAGCTAGTAAATGTTTACAAAAAGGAATATGGTTGGTTTTTGTCTCAAATGGGCTTACCAAGTAGAACACATCAGTTCTTGAACAAAAAGGAAATTTCAAGGTTTCAGGAGATAATTAGGATTAGATGAATATGAACCTTTCTTGAAGACACTCTTGAGAGTGGGGGGTGAATTCTGAAATGGTGAAAATGTTCAAGGGTTGATAACCAGTAATTTGTATGTGGTTCCCATTTTGTCAGCATCAAAAGAAAGCTTCGATAACCATTAAAAAAAAAAAATAAATAAATAAATAAATAAAATATCAAGTGTTTGATAAACACTGTCTTGTTCTAAAGTTAATAGCAATTATAGAGTACTAAACTCACTAGTAATGATTGGTAAGGTCAGTACAAATTTATTTTGATGTAGACATGTTTTCCCCCCCAAACAGTGAAAGATCCATATGTACAAATGACTTAAATTTTTAGCTGTTGACCATTTAAAGCAGAAAACATTTGATCTTACAATCAGTCATTCATGAGTTTTAGTCATGTTTTTCCCCATTGGAGATCCACAAATGTACCAGAAATGACTGGCTTTAAAAAAAAAAAAAAAAAAAAAAAAAAAAGAACGAGGGATGGTGACTTTTTTTTTTTTTACCATTACATTGTCCACAGGCTGGACATTCACAAGTGTGACATTTTATACAATATTTTACTAGAATAGTTATTAAAAAAAAAAAAAAAAATGTTCAAGATAAACATCATCTTTAATTGATTCAGGTAACTTTCATGTAAAATTTTATTCACCCAAATTAACAAGTATCACCCTGTAAACTCTTCTTCCTCCATTTCCATCTGATAGGAAGACAAATTTACTAGTATCAGGAAATCTTATTCACTTTGTCAAAAATGATGGTCTACTAAGAAATGTGGCTATATCAGTGTAACTGTTAAAACTTGCAAATTAAAAATCAAAATCTTAAAACACGTTTTACTAGAAATTTGTTCAAGTAAAAGTGAATGAGCAATCGTGGGGATGGTACTCTAAAACATCAGCTCAGAGGCAGGCTAATACCTGAGGTATGTGTGCCATTTCATCAGTCTGTTCAAATAAATGGCAATGTTCCACTAATGTTTTATGATGACAACAAAATCTTGCAGTTATAAGCAATTCTCATTTGTTCCAAACAAATTACTGAATTTCTGGGATGAGAGTTATTATTTACATTCAGACTATTGTCCTTGGTCTTTGTTGATGGACAAATCCAAATGTAAACAGTAAATAATAAAACATTCTTTGTAAAGGCCAAGACTGGTTCAGTTAGTAAAAGCAATGATCCTTCAACACATTCTGAATGGATGTTATCTACATCTAATATTTTAAAAAAGGCTTGAAGTTTTCACCAAATGAATGGTATAATACTGCAGCAATCTATATACAGGATGTTATGAAAGTGGTCAGCTCTACCAACCTTCCAAGGTTTGGTGTAATTTACTTAAAAAGGAACATATCAAACCCTACAAGACTTTTGCATTATAGAACAAACATTCAAAAATTTTAGAATAGATTTGTTATCAACTTCCAAAAGATTATTGATGTTGGCACTTTTTAAAATAGAAAAAAAAAATATAAAATGTAAAAATGCATGTGGACTTCCCCTCCCCCACTTTTAAATTTAAAACAAAACAACAGGTGAGGAAACCCTGTGTTAATTAGTAAGTTTCCTTCAGAAGGAAGAAGGGCTAAATTAATAACAAAATTAGCAAAATTCCCATTTTATCAGCTATTTTAATAAATTCAATCCAATATATATATATTTTTTTTAAATCAATGAAACTGAGCCATTTTTAAAATGGGACAAAACCAGATCTCCAGTTTGTAAAATGTAGAATTATCAATGTCAGATTGTTTTTTGTTTTTTTTTGTTTTTTTTTTGCTTTTTGAGTGCACCAGCAGGAATAAAATTGTCAACGCTTACACCACATTGTACTGTCAATGCTGTTTGACAACTAACAAAGGCAGTAGCAGCAGGTGTATTTCAATATATAACCACAGCCAGGGGACCTGGGAAGGAAAGTAGTGGTTCAATGGAAAGACAGAAATAAAGAGAAAAGGAGCAGGAGGATGGAGAGAAGGAGAGAGTATGGAAAAGAGAGGCAGGTGTAAAGAGAGTACATGGGGTCAACAGAAACCTCCCCTTTTAATATCTCTCCTCCTCCTTCTCTCTGTCCATCTCTGATGGGAGAAATATTCACTAACAACAGGAATGATCTGCCTGCAGTTCTGATTTCCGAGTTTCACATGGAAATTACATTTTTTTTTTTTTTGTTTATTTTATTATCTGCCAAAAATAAAATTAAATGATGGCAGAGTCCCTCTAGGAAATAATTTATTTACTGCCTTTCATCTCAACCAAAGTTTTAACCGTAAAGCATCCACTCCATTCAGGTAGTAGCGAAAAAGTCGCTTGTCTCGTACAAAGCCGAGATTTTCATAGAGTTTCAGGGCAGCTTTGTTCGTGATTTCTGTTTCTAACACCACCTTGAAAAAGACAAAAACAGAAATGATTAAGAAAAGGTAGAAGAGAAAATAGATATTTAATAGTTAAAAAAAAAAGTCTTTCAAAAATGGTTACATATGTGTGAAAGAATGAGAGAAAAAAAATGCATGTTCTATTGGGCTAGATTACAGTCCACTTTGTAGTGAAGAAACTGATGAAAATATTAGCATTTTGCATAGACACATTTTCAACATCAAACACAATGGCAAGAAAAACAAAGTTTGTAACGGATTGTGTAAATTTAGAGTTTACACACACATCCAATTCCTTGGCCTTTATATCCCTAAACAAAATATTTAAGGATAGAAAAGAACAAACCATTCTTTAAAAAAAAAAAAATCTAAATGCTACCACTGCTGTATCACAGCTGTCTGAGGTTTCCTACAGACCCACTGAACTTAAATAAAATCAATTCAGGTTTGCTATGGTAAAAATTTTCTATCCCAAGTAAAAATCATCACAAAAATGGCAAAAGTCATTTTGTCACAGCTTATTTTCTCTGAAAAATAACCGTTTTATCATCATCTAAACAAATATCAGGGAAACTTGACCTGAACCCCATGAAACTAGGTATTTTCCGAAAGCAAAGGATATATTCTTTCATTTAAAAGTAAAATTGGCTGGTGTAAATGACTAAAATTTTTTTTATTTCAGGAGGTAAAATGTGAAAAAAAAAATAGTGAAAATTTTTGCATTTTTTCTAGTTATAAACAAAAATTTTCCCATTAATGGGAAATTAACCATTCTTTTGGAAAATCAGAAAACCTAAATCATAAACTATTTCAGGCATAAAATTAAGTTTTGAAGGAAACCAACATTCCTAGGGGGTCAAAATGCGATGAAGTCCATTGGTAATTTTCAATTATATGACTGCCAGGGGTTAAAAAATTTATCTGCAATTCCTAACCACCAGAAACCAAAAGTAAAATTAAGCCAAATTGACTTTGACATGTCTGGGTCAAAGGTCAGCCAGCCAACAATAAACATTTAGAAGAAAAGTTGTCATCAGCTAATAAAACCTACCACTCCCAGATAAGAGCAAAATTGGAAAAAAAAAAAAAAAAAAAGGGGGGGAACATTGGCCCAAAAAAAAGGGCTTGATATAAGGTGTTTTTTTTTTTTTCCAACCTATGTTTGAACAATTTTGATTTTTTTTTTTTTAACACCTCATGATCTGAGTGATGACAACAACACTTAGCAAATGACGTTTTTTTTTCGCTGCATGTCTTTCATATTTCGGGCCATTTAGCTGTTCCTTTTATTCAATGATGTTCACGCCAAATTAAGGAGAAAGGGATGAAGTCTGAATGATTATTTTGGAGTGCAAAAAAAAAAAAAAAAAAATTTTTCTCAGAAAATTGGGATAATTTTCTTAATGCTAACCTGCCGAGCAACATTTTCCACAGCCAAAGAAGATTAATTACAGTGAATAATTCCATGTGCAAACAATAGCCATCTGGATCCTATAATGTCGCCCCAAAATGTCCAGAAGTGTTATTGAAAACTTGTGCATAATTGTGTTTTTCACAGTCAGTTTCCATTATTTCATCTTGATGTTGTCATTTTTAGACAGCCAAGTCATCAAGGATTCAGGAAAACAGTTTGGCACAGATTTGCTTCAAGAACTTTACATTCTAGGAGGTGTTTAAAATGTTACTGACGAATACGATTTTTCACTGAATATTTCGTTTACGCGCCATGTTGGATTTTCCTATATGACAAAAATAAGTGTTTTAAACAGCCGTGGAACAATAGAACAATATCATATGAATTTGCATCATGACTCAAGTAAGTGAATAACACTTTCACATTTTGCTAGCACTAGACAGGCATACAAATACTTTGAGATTATATCGATTTCATATTAATGAAATTCATTATAAGAAAAAAAAAAACAATAATGGTAACATGCTTTACCAGATGCCCTAGTAACTTACACATCATGCCGATTTCATACAACTGTCTAAGGGAAACCAACATATTTTATATTGAATATAAATTTGTATATCAATTTCAAAATCTAACCACTCCTTTTTCTATGAAGAAAAAAAATGGTTCAGTGTTGTTAGCACTAAACCAAACAAATGAACAATGATTCTAACATTTTTACACACAAATTATGTCATATACACACTAAAAAAAACATTACTCCCAAAACCAATATAAATTCCAAATAAATAAAAAACAAAGAAACCAATTTTTAAGTAACAATGTCTATAAAAGATCAATAAAAAATATCTAAAGGATCTGAAGTCAATATCAGGCTAGCCTTTCATCATAATACCACACATAACATAATTTTTTTTTTTTTTTTTAAAACCAAAATCTGTCTGTTCCTGATTTAAATTGATCATACTTTTGTGTATCCCCTACCAAAAATAGAAAATTTAAAAAAAAAAATTTAATGTTTGATTTATAGATAATGGATTTCTAAACACAATAACTTTCCAAAAAAAAGAAAAGTATACTTTATTATTATTCTTACTGTCATTGAATGTAAGATTTACAGAGATACATAATTTTTTAACACTTTTTGAGTTCAAATATTCAGGAAAATTAATTTTAGCAATTAATGTCTTCTATATCAAAAGGTGATCATATAGACATTTGAGAAAATGTATGCCTTTCATGTCAGAAATCTGTTTCAATTTCTTGAAAAGGATGAAAGCCTGTCTCAAATTCTGGTTTGAAGGATGCTAAAGCAGATATATTGAAGAACTTATAAATTAAAAAAAAAAATAAAAAAATAGTCTGACAAATAATCATGTTAACAAATAGGCAGTCTTTTTTCTATGACAATTCTTATCATATTAGACAAATTACCCATATTCTTACTAAATTCAACTTTTCTTTATTTTACCTTTTTTCACTAAAAAGTTAATCATAATTAACAGGAACAATTACACATACATTCACTAATTTTATTTGCTAAGGAAAAATACATGAAATAGAATTCTTTAACATTTACATTTGTCCATATGAAATCTGACTAAAACTTTGTTTAAATAACAATATGAAAGAACTTTCACTTGTAACAAATTATAAACTGATTAATAAATTTTTTGTTCTTGATTATTAAATTACAGAAAAAAAACTTTTGTTATATCAATTAGACATTAGCAACAAGAGGGTACAGATAGAATGTTGGATTTTGATGGTTACCAAAATGGTAACTTTTGTCAGCAAAGAGCACAAGTCTATTTAAATGTAATGACAATAACTGGTATTTGAAGAAGAAAAAAAGTTTTCCTATTAAGACTCACCTCATCACAACCATCTGCTAACATGGCTCTGATGGCTTTCAGCACTAAATTGGAACCTGAGGGGGAAAAATATATAAAAATAATTTTTTGATTCTAGCAAAAAACTATTTTAATGGAAACAAAAGAACAAAATGCACAGCCTAGCATTTGACAATTTGGCTAATAGTTTAAAGTAATAGATTTTTCTAGGGGCCCAATTATCTGAAGAAATTTTAACATCCAACAAAAGACATTCTTATTAAAACAATAACTTGTAAAATTTATATTTTTTGTTGAAAAAAAAAAAAAGAAAAAAAAGAAAAAGGATTTCAAGTTATGATTTATTTTGAGAACCTGAATCTTCTTTTTAATAGATATCCTGGAAAGTGGCAATTTTATATTTTCTAAAAGTGACTTTTTACTTTAAAGCTCTGATACAGACCAATTAAAGAAAATAATCAAAATTGTTAAAGTACTGTATGAAAAAAATTTGTAGAAGAGATTAAGACATATAAATAATAGCCACTATGTATGTCGAAATGCTCTCAATTTCATAAAATAAATTACATATAAAGGAAATTTCAAAGAAAAAGATAAATTTCACATTTTTAAAAACGATAAATTGAAAAAGTGAATTCAGAACTAATAGTGAAAAAAGATACAATGTTCCTCCTAGTTAGAGACCAGCAAAGAGAGGCATGTATATCAGAAAGGATAATAGGAGGAGGAACAAACAGAACGAGAAACTATGGCTACAGGAAAGTGTATTAAATGTTAACTTTAGGCTGTAGAATGAGACTATGTGCCAACATTCTAAAAAAAAAAACAAATAAATAAAACATTAACATATATGGTTGGGTAAAAACTAAAATTGTTTTTTTAGCGTTTCATCTTAGCTTTTAACCAACCTATTGCTTTAATTTTCCCCCAAAAGATGTGAAGAAAAAGTATGTTTAAGAGTGGCTTGATTTTTTTTTAAACTTTAAAAATAAATCAACAAAGTTTGAACTGTATCTGCTATGAATTCACTCAAGTTCCTATTACCTAAAAAGCATTTCACTGTCTAATGGGTATTAAACAACATTCTTTAATTGTTCTGCTTTTCTACTGTTAACTTATGAATTTGACATTCAATTAAATTTGTTTTGATGTACAGACACTAATGAAGTATTCTTACCTATTTTTCGCCTTCTATATTCAGCATCTACTGCAAGCATTGCTATGTATCCTCTTCTTATAACTCGTTTGTGAATGTCCAGCTTGCATACTATGGCTCCAACACATTTGCTACCATCCATACACTGAAAGAAAAACAAAGTGGATTAAATATATTTGTCATCAAAATACAATTTCAACCACCTTTTTTAATTACCAGCAATAGAAATTTGCCATGTTCATTTTTAATAAAATGAAAAATATTTTTAAGCTATGCATTTGTTAAAACATTGAAACTGTCCAGATTATACATTTTGGTAAGAAAACTTTACCTGGCATAGGTAAGAATAAAACTATTGTACTTTTTGTAGAATCTTTCTTCAAAAGTTCAAAAACATTTCACCTACTTTTAGTGATAAATATTAATTTTTGTCTAATTTTCTGGAAGGAAGTGTTATTTTAATGTTCAGTTGGACTAATGTCCTCTTCATTGTTTTATTATCACATTAAGGCTTTCTTCAGGTGCATGTCAATACCATGTGTCAGTAAAAGTCCATCTAGTCAGAAGATGAGGTGGTTACATGGCATTCTTTACTTCAGACCAAGTCAGAGTACAACTCACAACCAGAACTGGACACCTATCAAATCTTTTCATTCCATTAAAAGTAGGTACCTCCACGAAATCGCTAAAAAAAGAGCATAGCTTGATGAAAAAGACGCCAACCTTGCCGAAAACAAAATTTTATTGTCTAAATGCTTATGTTATTATTAAGAGGAAAGACCAAAGTTTTTTTAAATTATTTTAAAAATTTTTTCCTTCTTTTTAGAAGATTCTAAATTTTGATTAAAAAAACCTCGTTTCTATTTGTATCAGCGGAACTAGTAAATAACAGACAATTTTTAGCACGTTTTTATGGTATAAGACACATTAATTTGAAAAATCGTGAAAAAATAGAAATAATTGTCGGATGTTAATGAAACTTTCAGGAACTATTCACAGATGATCGAAATTATTATAAATATGTTTTTTTTTATTAAAGTCATGGTAGAAATATTTTTTTTAAAATATTTATTACCACCGCCATAACTAATTTTATGAAATTCGATCGCATCGGGTTTAGTGGTTACAATAATTAAAAGCACAGGGCTTTGAGGAATGCAAATCATGTTTTTTTTTTGTTTTTAATTTGATCCGCAGTACCTGAAAATCAGCTCTGAATTGTAACATACAAAACTCAATAAAACAAAGATGTTATTTAATTTCAAATGCTTTTATTTGCTTTTAGTTGTTTTTATGAATATGGACAATATTTTCTGAAAGTAAAAAATTTTTTTCGATGAAAAATGAATTTTTAATACAATTATTTGTTATTTCTTTAATTATAATAGATTTTACATTTAAGTTGTTAAAATATAAAATTAGTTAAAAGCCGCATCGGCTTTCCTAAGTGTCCTTATGAGATAGATCTTTTTTAGTGCATTGTAAATTGTATCATTTTGACTAATCAGAAGATCCGCAGTAATTAAGAAATTTAATTTTGTGCTTATAACCGGGCTGTAATTATAAAGTACGGAAGACCAACCAGAATATAATTAAGTTGCATTATTCGAGTTAAGCATTGTTCTCCGCTGTTAAGGCCTTTACTTTTGTGAAACACGTGTGGAGAAGCTAATTTGATTTTTCAATTTCAACTGAGAAGGGTACCTACAAATATCAGTATCATCTTATGAAATTTATATGATCTTATTTTTATATTAATCTCAGTTATGACATTTTTCCATAAATGAAATATCAAAATTAATATTAAAATGAATGCAAATACAAATAACAGTAAAATGTAATAAATGTACATAAAATTATAGTATTTTATGTACAGTTCTGATCAAATTTCATAAGAAAGGTACCTATAAATTAATTAGATACCGTTCTTAGGAAATATGAAATTTAATGTCACTCTTAACAGTCTTATTTTAATTTCTTTAGAAAATATTTTCCATAAAGCATCATAAACGTAAAGGTGAAAGCTAAGTAAAAAAAAAAAAAAAAAAATTAGACCGCTGAAAGTTTTTGTTAAAAATAACAAGGTAAATAATTTGTTCACTTAAATGTAAATTATTTCACTTTTCTCCTTCCGTAGAACAAATTAGCCTCATGGAATGTCATTCATCACCTATCAAGAGACACAAAAGTTTATGACCTGCTTTGTTTTATTTTCAAATTATATCTTTTTGGCACAAAAGCTAAGTTAAGTTTGGTTCAAAATATTTTAAATAAACATTATAATTTCTGATTTTCTTAAAATAAGTTTTGAAAAAATGATAATTGATATTTAAAAGAATTTCAAAGTGAGATTTCCAGTTTTTTTTTTTTAAATGGAAAAAAATGGTCAATTTTGCTGACTCAAAAAAAAAAAAACTAGATTTTTAACGAACATTTCGGACATGCTAGGAACAATTAAAAAATGGAAAAAATACCCCAAAATACTTTGATCTTTCCTCTTAATAATAACAAACATTTAGACGATAAAATTTTGTTTTCGTCAAGTTTGGCATCTTTTTCATCATGCTATACTCTTTTTTTAGCGATCTCGTGGAGGTACCTAATTAAAAGTGAAGACTTATTTTTATTTTGTATTGTAATCAGCTTAAGAAATTCAAAGAAAAAAGTAGAGATTAAATGCATAATTAATATGACTTGGAAAGTTAATCCTCTTCATCTTTGTATATTTTTTTCTTTTTTTACTAAGGTCTTATTACAATTAACATGTAATTTGGCAGAGTTGCGGATCCTTCAACTTCCACCTCATTCACAAGGGTGTACAAAATGTTATATAAATTTTAGTCTGAATCCACATTAAAACCTTTTTAATGAAACGTTTTGTTTCATTAAAAAGGTTTTAATGTGGATTCAGACTAAAATTTATTATTAATTTATGTGGATTCAGACTAAAATTTTTATTAATTTTTATTTTAAAATCAGAAATTTTGTTTATTTAAAATATTTTGAACCAAACTTAACTTAGCTTTTGTGCCAAAAAGATATAATTTGAAAATAAAACAAAGCCGGTCATAAACTTTTGTGTCTCTTGATAGGTGATGAATGACATTCCATGAGGCTAATTTGTTCTACGGAAGGAGAAAAGTGAAATAATTTACATTTAAGTGAACAAATTATTTACCTTGTTATTTTTAACAAAAACTTTCAGCGGTCTAATTTTTTTTTTTTTTTTTTTTACTTAGCTTTCACCTTTACGTTTATGATGCTTTATGGAAAATATTTTCTAAAGAAATTAAAATAAGACTTAAGAGTGACATTAAATTTCATATTTCCTAAGAACGGTATCTAATTAATTTATAGGTACCTTTCTTATGAAATTTGATCAGAACTGTACATAAAATACTATAATTTTATGTACATTTATTACATTTTACTGTTATTTGTATTTGCATTCATTTTAATATTAATTTTGATATTTCATTTATGGAAAAATGTCATAACTGAGATTAATATAAAAATAAGATCATATAAATTTCATAAGATGATACTGATATTTGTAGGTACCCTTCTCAGTTGAAATTGAAAAATCAAATTAGCTTCTCCACACGTGTTTCACAAAAGTAAAGGCCTTAACAGCGGAGAACAATGCTTAACTCGAATAATGCAACTTAATTATATTCTGGTTGGTCTTCCGTACTTTATAATTACAGCCCGGTTATAAGCACAAAATTAAATTTCTTAATTACTGCGGATCTTCTGATTAGTCAAAATGATACAATTTACAATGCACTAAAAAGATCTATCTCATAAGGACACTTAGGAAAGCCGATGCGGCTTTTAACTAATTTTATATTTTAACAACTTAAATGTAAAATCTATTATAATTAAAGAAATAACAAATAATTGTATTAAAAATTCATTTTTCATCGAAAAAATTTTTTTACTTTCAGAAAATATTGTCCATATTCATAAAAACAACTAAAAGCAAATAAAAGCATTTGAAATTAAATAACATCTTTGTTTTATCATCAGAATTAAAAATTCTGAAATAAAAGTATGACAACAAAATAAACATGAAAGAAATTTATTTTATTGTCTAAAAATAAAGTAACTATTGGTATTCCGACTTATTTAATCACTCATTTATATCTAAAAAAAATTCCAAATTTGTTGAATTTAATTATGAGATCAACTTTATATAACATTCTAACATTCTTAATAAATAACTTTTCATTATTTTTTTTTTTTTAGTATGAAATATTGCTTGCTTTATTTAAAAAGAAAAAAAAAAAAGAAAAGGTAAACTAAACTAAAATTCAACATTTTTGAAAATACCTTTTCGAAAGATTAACAAATTACTTGAAAAATTAAATATTGTTAGATTTGTTGTTGTGAATAATAATACCAGAGAAAAAATAAGCTAAATTAACTTCATGTAACAAATTATAGCATTTTTAAATAAACTTGGCCATGAATCGAAGTCTTTGGAAGAAAATTAAGCATAAAACAACTTTCTTGAGAGAAAATCTGTAACATTTGCTATTTAAAAAAAAAAGAAAAAAAAAAAAAAGATTAATAAATTAATTTATTATGTTATATTTCAGTATAAGTGTGGTAACAATCCAACATACTCTTCATTTGTTACAAACAGAAATACAGATTACAAAAAAACTAAATTGATTATTAGTGTGTTGGCTTTTATGAGTAAGAATTTCAGTGAAGAATATTAAATTAACTTTTTTAAGTGAAAAATGTTAAATTAACAGGAAAAAAAGTTTTCTAAATTATATTTTCTTTTAGTGAATTTCAGACAGTTGATTTGCAATAAAAAGAAAATACCACAAATTAAAAAAAAAAAGTATTTACTTCAATTTAATAAGCTAAAAGGTATTCCAAATGTAAAAAAAAAAAAAAAAAATTTCTTAAGCCAACTACAGTAAATACAGAATGAAACTAAAAATCTTCACACCCAGTGGAACAATGAGATTTGAGACAGGCCTTCAGTTTTGGAGTAAAGAATGCCATATGTGGTTACCAGACAGACTTACTAACATTAGCAGAACTGGTATATATATATATATATATATATATATATATATATCTCCAGATGTATAGTATTAATTGCCTGGATTGACAAACACCTTAAGC